AGGCATGAATACTCAGTGCTGCTCTTGAAGCTCATGGCAAAGCTACATGCCAAAAGCCTGCTCTATGTCAAACTCCATTTCTCCATCAAACTGGTATTTAAAAATTCAACAGGGGAAGAAAAGGAAAAACCTTTATGAGCAGGTTGAGACCATCAGTAAGCAATGAATTGCGACTGCCAAAAGTCCTGGTGCTACTTCCCCTCTTCAGCATTGCTGCTGACAGTTGTTTTCCAGGCATTAGTGCTGTGCACTGCTCTTGTTGATGCTCTCCCATTTCTTCTTCATTTCTTCTTTCTTCACAGGGATTCAGGCAGTTAAGACTCTTGGTTGAGAACCGTGGTCGTGTCAATTACGGCCTGGCGCTGAATGAGCAGCGGAAAGGCGAGTTGAGTTTGTTGTTCATGGAGCCTCTCACTGTCCGAGATGCTTCTCTGGGTTTAAGTTCTCTGAAACTGTCTTTCTTGTGTAATTTACAAACTGCAGACTGATGCAGCTGTTAGTTGTAGCCAAGGTGTGAGGGAGATGGGGGGAAATGGTGTGACAGAGGGAACCTGTGAGAACTGCTGTTCATCCCTCCCTGTCTGCAGTGATTGTAGGTGAAGAGTAGCGGCTGCTTGACAAATTGCATTAAGGCTTCTCATTTTATAGGGCAGCAGTTGAACCCAAGGCCATCGCTGAATCCTGCTCTGTTCGATTTTGCCAGGTGATGGAAGGGTACCCATTCTCTTGCTCTCTGAGCGTGTTACTTCACAGGGCAGGAAGGAAAAGACCTCTTTTAAACTCTGTCCTCCCCTGGGGTTTGATATTGGAGAATCACAGCATTTTAAAACTCACACAACGTTCAGCGTATTCAGGAGGAACGAGTTACATCCTGTTGAGCAGAATTTGCTGAAACTTTCAAGTCCATTACATACAATTGTGGAGCTGGAAGAGGTTGAAACCCCGAGATTCTATTTTAGTGGGGAAATGTATGCAAAAAGCATACAAGAAAGAATAATGGAGCAAGGCATGTGACTGTACTAATTTTCTTATACTGCAGAGTATGTGTATAAAGCCTCTACTTCTTGGGCAGGCTCAACTGCAGCCCTGCAATTAGGGGGCTCGATTAGGGCCTAGGCTCTGTTTGCTACGTGCAGAGTATCTAACAAGGAAGTGCTGGAGGGAAATTATTTCTTAAAGTATTTTAAGATCTTTGGATGAAAAACAGTGCATCAGCCCTGGGTGTGAGTGCTTCCCCGTGCTAAATTTTGCTGTTCCTATTAGAGAGGTAACTGATCTAGTGCTTTAACAAATCTCTACGTGGGCAGCTAACGAAAAACCAACAATAACAACAAAACCCCATCTGCTGTGCATGCCAGCAGTGTTTTCTGCTTGGAGGGTGTTTTAATGGCCTAGTGAGTTAAAGCGAAGGAGGGAGTGGAGAGGCCAAAGTATAGTAATGTTCTCCACTCAGTCTGGATGAGCAATGGGACCATATGGCCTCTAATTCCATTGCAGAGCGTGGCTGCTTTCCATCTCCTGCTGTTCCTTGCATTCAGAGAGGAGAATCTATCAGTTTTAGCTGCTTTTCAACTCTTCATTACCCCCATTGCTCTTACAGGCTTAATTGGTGACATCTTCTTGAATAAAACCCCCCTGAGGAACTTCAAGATTTACAGCCTGGAGATGAAACCTGACTTCTTGAAAAGGTTTGTGGGATTTAAAAATTGTTCTTGCTCATTTGAAACCAACTGCTTAGCAGCAGTGCAGAATCTGGGAGGCAGCAGTTACACGTGTAACAGAAAGGCAACGCCATGTAAAAGTAGGTGAGTAAATCTGTGCCTTGCTAAGTTCCTTGCTGATACCTTCCCCCAAAACATTTCAGACCACAGTGCTGTTTTCTCCACACGGTTTAAGACAACAGATACCCCGTGGGCTCTGGCCAATGTTCCAAACAGACTATTTGGAGTTTTGTTAATGTCAGAAAATAACACATGTGCGTCCCCCAAGATAGCACAGCTCCCGCAACGTGCGTAGGAAGGAGGGAGAGGTGATGTGAAACCAAGCAGGCTTTTAAAAGAGGAAAAAAGAAAAATCAACATTTTGAAATTTTTAAGGACAGTCTTAACAGGTGCAGTGTGAAGGGGGTCTTTCTGAGGGGTGATGTGCAAAACCCGTGACTGCAGGGCAGCTTTGGCCACACCACAGCCACTCACTGGCAATTGCCCAGTAGCAGCAGAGCACAGCTTGCAGTGAGTGCGTAGGAAGATGTGGCATTGTGAAAGGAATTGTCATAGGCTTTCACTTGAATCGTTCAGTAGTGGTCACGCTGCACTGGATCAATAAATTCCCTATATCCAAGAGATGCAGTTGTAAGGGTTCTGTAGGACTTTGGTGCTCTGTGTTGATTGTTCTGTTTGTCCTCTGCTTCCAGAGGGCAGCAGAGATGATGAAACTCCGTATTTCCTTTTCTTGCACCAAGGACTTGCATTTCAGTGGCATGGCAAGCGTAGGAGAATGAAGACCAAGACATGTTCCACCTGTTCCTTTCAGCTAGGTGCTTGCTAACAGCATCACCATTTTGCAGTGCGAAAGATATTGCCTTCAGCACTACCAGCAGGAAGTAACTCCTTCCATCAGGCATGGAAGGAAACTGCAGCCTTGTTGTGTGTAACAGATCCCATCCACTGCTGTAAGCAGGGCTCTGAAATGATGCTGAGGCTGTGTTGGAACTGGGTGCTGCCCAGCTGTTAGCTGTGCTTGGCCGTTCTCTTTCAGCTTGCGGCACACTGCTGGATGGAGCGCAGTCCCAGATTACTTTGTTGGTCCAGCTTTTTTTCGTGGGAAGCTGTGGATAGAGCATCAACCACAGGATACTTTCTTGAAGCTACAGGCAAGTCCTTGTCCTTCCCCACCGTTTTTGATTCATGAGGGTTTGCAAAAGCTGGTTGAAGAGAGCCTTGTGTCACAGCTCTGAGCCAGTCAAGGCCGCTGCCTTGTAGTCTTCCTCTGTGCTTTGAGAAAACAAATTATTTTGATGGTGCAAAAAAAATCTTCTAAAGCTGGCAGGCAATGCTGTTCTGTCTGCAGTGGCCTTAATGAGAAAACATGCAGTGCTGATGGAGCAGAGCTGCTAATGAATGGTTAGTCTTGATCACTGATAGGCAAGGGCTATTTGTTTTCTACTTGCTGAAGAGTGATGGGCACAAAACATAAAGGAGGGGCAAGTTTTATCCCTACCTCCTTGAGGTATGGGAAGAATTGCTTCTTTATAGACATGGCACAGGAAGGCAAGCAGAAAACCTGCCGAAAGTGACTGGAAAGAGTGCAAGTGCATTTCCTGTAGGGATGTTAGATACAGCTGCTTCACTAATTCTGTGTGCTGTCCTGATTCTAGGGCTGGGAAAAAGGAGTTGTGTTTGTCAATGGTCACAACCTTGGCCGCTACTGGAAAATTGGACCTCAGGAAACACTGTACCTTCCTGGCCCCTGGTTGTGGAAAGGGAGCAATGAGGTGAGAGGCTCTGATGTCTTGTGTGTATTGTTAAAGATCCTGCTCAGGGTCATGCCCCAAAGATCTAGACAAATACAGTACATTAATTAGTTAGCTACAGCTGAAAACGAGGGCAGTAGTGAAGGAAGGAGACGTAGCTCCTCAGATCTGTGAAAATGAGGGGAGGTGCTGCTCTAAAGCTAAGAATGTGGCTCTGACAGTCATTAAGACATGACAGAGATCTCAGCCAAACTTCACAGTGCAGCATCAAGTTCAAAATCGAGATGAAGCCGATTTGATGCTCGTTCATTTTCTGCATTGTGCGGTGCTGAAGAATCAGAGTTACTGTTCCAAGTCATATTGATTGATCTCTTTAAATGATCCTTCCTTTCTCTGCAGTGATTGTATGCCCTTTACCCTTAGAAGTCGTTAAGTAACTTTGCCTTTGTATGAAGAGCTTTCCATGTGCCTCTCTTCTGCAGATCATCATTTTTGAGGAACGCACTGCAGGACGGATCATACAGTCTGTCGACATACCTTACTTGGGAAGGACCCAGTATGTGGACTGACGAGAGCATCTTTCCCACCTTTGGTTCATCTTGAACACTCCTGGTTGCATGTCTGGGGACATGATGGCCCATGCACTTGGGCCTCTTAATTTCCACTAGACCCAGGTCAAGGATTTGCTCTTTGGCAGTAAGCTCAGAAGAGAGAATGAGCCCCAGAGGAACTGGAATCCGTGGTTTCATTGATGGAAGCTGAAGCTCATCTGCGTGCACCGCTGAGGAGCTGGGGCTTGGATGGCTGTGCATGATGTTATGGACAGAAGGATCTGAGGGAGTAACATGGTGCTGGAGGCAGGAGAGAGAGAGTGAACTAAACTCCGAGTCCAGCTCTCCACTGACTTTAAAAACATGTTATGACTGACCTCTTCATTTTTATAATTAGGGAGAAAATAGTTGGTGAATATACGAGTAACCAGGTGTGGAAACCCATGGTGTTGTACTTGCAGGTGGAATTTATCAATGTGGTCTGCAGAGGGGCTGCAACTGGTTCACTTGTTGGAAGCCACATTGGTTGTCAAATGAGTTAACTGTGAGCTTTGTTCCACTGCGTTTTAATATGGAGGTTGTCTCTCTCTCAGAAAGGAGGAAAAAAAAAAAAAAGTTCTAAAAATTCACATGTGGTTTTTTTTCCTCTGTCAAAAATACCATTCTGTTTCAGGTCAGGACCAAGTGAGAGCTTTCAATCATGGAGAAGAGAGCTCCCTCCACCTGGAGATGAAATTCCCCCTTATCAAGGAGCAGCAATCAGGTTTTGGTTGTGATAGAAGCCAAGGAGTCGCATAAATACTTGCAAAATGGGAGATCTGGGCTCTGAGAAGCACAACCGTGTGCACTGCCTCTCAGAATGGAGTTGCAGGGCATTCTAGCTCTTAAAAACCATACTTAATTTTATTTAACAAATTTAAATACAGTTTATTTAAAACTGAGAACAGACAGTGCAGCTGTAATACACTCCACCCTGACCAGAGCTGGTCTCACTGAGCGTGCACATCTCTGCTCCCCAGACCCACAGTGCAGCTGTGCAAGGTGGAAGGGCCCAACTTTGAGAAGTGTAAAAGCAGGGCCGTGGTCAGGACTTGGGCCTTTGTGTTTTTCTGGAAGTTATTTTCTTCTGAGGAGGGAAGGCTGCAGCTCAGCAGGGGCTGGAGCTGATGTTAGTGAATGAAAACATGCAGCTAGGAGAGGCCAGCAGTTGGGAACTAGCATAGCAGTAGAATTTGTATGCCTTTAACAATGTCTCTTGGCCCTCTAGGGTGTGCAGACTGAACTGAGGTTGGGCTGCTCATACAAGAATAGAATCAGCCTACTCAAATGCAGAGAGCTCCTATTTTAGCATAAGGTAACAGTGCCTGTTCCCATAGAGTGGCCGGTGGAACTGGATGCTTTCTATCCATGTAGCACTTCAGCCAATGCATCTAAAAGAACATTCTAAAGGCTATTTAGCAAGGCTTTATGACTGAGAGCTGAGCAATGCAGCTTTCCCCCATCAATTCTGAAAGACAGTGGGAGAAAATAACTTAAAAAAAACACCCAAATGTTTCTTTAAATATTAGGGAATGCACAGCCATCAGACCAAGGGGAGAATTCTGCACTTTGAAGCTAACAATCCCACCTGTAGTACTTAAATAATTCTATGCGTTAGGGCTAAAAAGAACCAAATCTGGGATTACTCTTTCCCTTGACTCAAAGGGAAAATTGTGCTTCAGGCCCTTCTGAAAGAATTGGGGCAGTGGGAATTGATCAGATGTTTGACAGCTGTGAGGGGAGGGTGCTGAGTTCTGTGTGTTTGGGCTGGAGGTAGGGAGAAGAGCTGAGCTGTACCTGAATTTCTTCCTCAGCAAGTTTGTTTCCAAACAGAGTCAGCCGAGGCAGCAGCACCCAGGTTCCTCCTCTGCACTGCTCAGCCACCTGCCTCTTGCTGAGGAGCAGGGTACAGTTTCATTAGAGAATACCCTTTCATCAGTGCCTTTGAAGTCACAGAGCAGGGAAGAGGCAACTAATATTCTGCTTAGTTTTTCAACCTACCCTTTACAAGGGTGCTGCTCTGTTCCCACTAGTTAACTCCTGATTGGCTCCAGTGTGGCTTTGCACACCAGTCTGGACCTGAAAGAGGAGCTAGGGCTGAAGGATACACTCCACGCAGATGGTAGATGTACTAAAATAAGTTTTTCTTGTTCAATCCCTATTTTTAAGCAGTTAACTTCATTTTTTAAGAGTAGAAATTTGGCTTTATGTAGAAGCACCCTTCTGAGAATCCCATACCTAATGCTCACGTTAACCAAATGAGAGCTAAATAATACTTCATCTGGGCTCAGATCTTAGTTCTATGGTGCAGGGCCACAATAATCTCTTTAAAAACCCCTCACAGCTCTTTTAGCATCAAGGGCTGCATGCTGTGCATGTAACTCCATGCAAGAGCATAGAGCACTCTCCAAACCATGGAGCCAAATGGAAGGGGAAGAAGGGGATACAAGAATCAGATGTACAAGTGGGTTTGTTCTAACCTGCCTTGCTTTTCACTCTCCCCCAAAGCCTTCCTGTCTTGTGCAGCATCACAAACACTGATTAAAGTAGGTTTAGAATTAAGGGCTGAGGTGCCATCTTGGAAGGCAGCTGCCCCCTCTGTCAGCAGGGAGCTGCTCTGTGGACACACAGCCACAGGGTGTGTGTCTGGGGAGGACAAGTCATCGGGGCCAGCATACTCGTGTGTGCATTCTCACCCTTGCTCTCAGGTCCTGTATAGCAGCCTGCTCAGTCTGGGCTGCCCTTCCAGCTGGGCTGCATCTTCAGTGTGTCATGCACTTCTCCCAAACCGAGTGTCTCGCAGGGCAGCTGCTCCTGTAGGGAAGTTCAGTCCTGTATTTCTGTGCTTTTTCTCCACCCCCAGAGCATCAGGTTCTGCTCAGAGTCCAGGAGGAAGGGCGGGGGGATCCGGGTAGTTTATGTATGCAGTGTTGCTTGCTTTCAGTACACTAAAACTCTTGGAAGTCAGCAGAGGTCCTGGCTACTGCATGTCTGGCTGTATGCTGTGGGGAGAAACCTTGGAGGCTGTGCATGAGGAAATCTTCTGCAACAGAGACACAACCAGCATGTTTATTACCCCTCTGCCTCACTGCAGTGAGCTGCCACCCCTTGGAGCTAACCCAAAACCCATCTCAGATTGCAGAGCTGTGACTACTGCTGCTAGGCAACTGGGTGTTGGTAGAAAGCAGTTGTGACAGCACTGAAGAGCTATGGCCTCTCTGCAAAGCTGCTATATATAGCACAGACAGCGTGCAGTGCAGGCTTTCCTTTGCTGTCCTGCCAACGGGCCACAGCGCAGGCCCTGCAGCAGGCAGGGCTCCATCACTGCAGCCCGAGGGAACGTGCTGTAAGAACTCATTATGTTAAAAATACACTGCTGCTGAGCAGATCCGCCCCTCTCCCATACCCCTTGCTGCTCTGACTTCTCTGTGTCTGAGAGGAAAAGAGAACAAGCAGCAATCTTCTCTCCCCTCCAGGCCTGGTTCTGCACCCTGGTTGAAGGGAGTTGTGCATATATGTTTTTTCCCCCCCCTAATAATGAAGAGCAGCAGTCTGGATGCAGGTATGAGGAAATATTTCATCCTTCACTCTAGCAAACCAACTGCAGGGTGCACTCTGGACATACAGATGATTTAAATGCACCAGAATGCTCAGGTAATTAAAGGTGAGAAGCCAGGGCACGAAACAAACAAAGGAGAAGTCAGCCACCAGCATGCATGTTTGCTTTTTCCTCCTCTCCTTTCTCCTCCAGCAGTGGTATCCAGAGACACTATATGCTGACCTTAGGTAAATAGATACATAATGCCCCATTTGGGGTTTAACCTACACCCTCCCTTATTGTCACTGACTGTGTGTGGTTTGTGTTCTGTCACTGTTTGGTATTTTCCTCCTTTGCTGTTTCTCCTTGCAGTTCCAGAACATGAGCTCTCACCTGGTGTTGGTCTCCACTCAGCTGTGCACGCTCAGATTTCCACATTGGGATCTGTGAATCCTTTCTTCCCCTCATTCACCAGCACAGGCTTTTCTGTCCTCGTATGCCAGACTAAAATCTGAAGAAACCAGAAGTCATTAGCTGCATCCCTTCACTGCACCAACAAACATTCTTGCACGTTAAATCAATAGTGCAATTTAACCATCTACCCTGGGGCCTAATGGTGCATTCACAGCTGCAAGGAGCTTTGCATAAAACTTCATTTAGGTTGGCCTGCTGCTACCCAGAATGCACAGTGCACAGAAATTACCTATCTTATAGTGTACTGTCTTGGGACATTAACCTGCTCCTTCCACGTGGTTATCAACAATCTTCCTCCAAAGGCTCATCAGTCCTGCCAATGATGTAAGGCCGTTCCCTCATCGCCAGAGGATCAGACGCACGTCTCCCACAGTCAGGATCCTGACTCTGGCTCTTGCTTATAGTGTTAGCCCACCCTTGGGCAGCGTGGAGCAGTTTGCTGGGTGCAGAATGGAAAAGCCACCTCTTGCCACATCGGCTCACATTGTGACTGCTTGCTAACCTCATTACACTACTTCTTTTTAAATTCTTTCATGACCCTGAAGAGGTGATGAAGTGCCACTGATGGGAGAAGTCCTTACTGCTGCTCTAGTTGTCTGTTGCCACCTCTGCTCTCAGAGGTACCAGAGCCATCAGCTTGGTACAGAATACTCCATTGCTCCCACATGCTCAGGGCTCCCCATGCGCATCTCCTCCAAAACGCCAGCCCCAGTGCTGCTCCTGCTATTCCAGACCAGGTACAATGCATTGCATCATTTTCAGGGCCCCTCTCCAACCTACTGAAACCAGCACTGAAGCACACGGGGATGTAAGTTCTACTAAGATCTGAGCAGTGAAGCTCAATGTAAATCAACACCTGCAAAAAAGAACTGGAAAACAAACAAACAAACAAAAAAAACAAACGGAAGAGGTTGCCTGACATCTGTGGTGGGAGAGGTATTATAGCTCAATAGCTCCTCTCAGCCATGCCATGCTCCAAGCTCTGGAAACGCTCTCCCCTCACCAGACTCAATTCTGCTCAGTGCTCAGCACTACAAGCTGTACTGCTGGCAGCAGTTTTGTCCCTTCAGAGATGTGGCTTCCTGCTCCCTCTCACCTGCTCAGTGATGGTTCCTCCTCGCAGGGGTCTCCCTCTTGTTGCTATGACAATGCTCAGTGCATTCAGTCCAAATATCTGCAAACTGCCTTGTACCCACTCCCTGCTTTTCTGAAAAACGAGGCTGCACTCTGCTTCTAAAGGGTGAACAAAGCACTCCTCAAGCCCTTCTAGTTAAACAGGAGCCCCCCACCTTCCCAAGAAGCCACTGCTATTACACTGCTGCAGTTACTGATTTACTTCCTAATGAAAAGCAAAAGCAAACAGGTCTCGCCAAGCAGCTCTCCAGGCAACGTCAGCATCAGCTACGAGCTCCTCGTCCAACAAATAGAATAGCCAAGCCTTAATGCAGTGCAGGTGCTGGAAAGCAAGCTGGTGGGCAGTTCTGCTTTCCAGCAGGAGCAGGGAAAAGCTGCTCCCATACAAACACCGCCAGCAACAGGGCTCAGGCTCCCACAGCTCCAGGCACTAAGGCACAAATACAGATTAATAGCTTTTCTTTTCAATTGCATCCCGCTTTGACATTGTTAAATCCGAGTGCCAAAAAGGCAGTTATGTGGAATTAACTGACCACAACTGACTGATTCTCAGAGTTTGCAGCTCAATGCAGCAGCTTCTACCGTTTCTCACACAGCGCTCTTTAATATGGGAGGGAGAGCACCATTTTACACAGCAACACCTGCTTTTGCTCTCAGCTTGATGCTTTCCACAAGCGTTGGTTTGATGTCTCAGAGCAGCTTTGGTTTGTGCAAACGTGCAGTTTGCATGGGAGAAAAGGGGAGGTCTGAGTGCCTGATCTCCCCTGGGCAGTGGTTCCTGCAGGTCACCTGCATTCCCTTTACAAATCCTCACTACTGCAACACACATCAGTCATTGACAGCCTTGTCATCCAGAATCATGAGGTCTAAGACTATAAGGCTTCATTGAAATTGCAAGCTTTTTCACTGTCTTCCAACAGGAAATTAAGCAGGCAAGTCAGCCTGTAGTAGGAGGGGGTCATGGGATTTCCAGTACCAAAAGCCCTCCATAGAAGGCAGCAATAGCTGCTACTTAAAACAGTAATTGCTAGCTATGCAGTTCCACCACCTTGAAGGTGATAGGTGTTACAGGCAGAGCTCAAGAACACAGGAAAGGGTTCTGGTGGTCCAATCTGAGTTACCACAGCCACCACATGGTCCGAAGGTCCTGGAGCAAGCAGGGTGCTGCAAAACCCAAACTGCTCAGATGGCTCAGACAGCTTTCAGCTTTGCTACAGGGGGATGGAATTGGCACAGCAGTTCTGGAGACTCATCAGGGCTCAACGAGGCAAAAGGAGCCCTCCAGGTTCTGCACATCCCTTAAAAATCACCAGCTCAGGCACTGTGTGTGAAGCTTTACCAACAAAGTGCTGTCACACAGCAGCCAGGGTACTGACTGCTCACTGCAAACCACACCAACCCAGCAGCCCAATTTCAGGAGAAATCTAAGCAAAAGAAGGGCAGATCTGCTCTATCCATATCCCGTTGCTCAGCCCCTGAAAGGGAAGGAACACAAAGAGCTCACAACTCCCTGCCTACTCTGCAGCACCACAGGGTAAGATCAGGAGGAAGCAAAGCACTCCTTTACAAGCTTTCTTGCCTTAGGCTGAGTTTTTCTCTCCCTCCTGTCCATTAGCAGTCAGCTTTAGCTGTTTTACAGCTGTGATGTCACGAAGCAGCCAGCCCTGGTCCCTTTTGCTGCGTAATTCCTTGGCTGCTGCAGGGCCAGGCTTGCTCTCCTCTGATGCATAAGGATTTATCCCTCTTTCAGAGCTGGTTCCCAGACCTAAAGGATTGGTTTGGGGTGCAGGCATTGCAGGGACACTCTCTGCACTCTCTGCTGCCTGTTCTCAGCCTGTGTGTGACAGCAGTGCCATTCCCATGGTGGCATTTCACACTGCCCACACACACGCTGCCGCCCAGCAATCCCTGCCCAGCACACGGCTGCCAGCCAGTTCCCTTCAGCAACATTCACCTAAATGCCAGGCTGTGAGCCCACAGCTTTAATCCCACATCACACTCAGCCAGGAGGGAAGAAGAGTGGAGGAATGGCTGCTTTTAGCTACCAAAATCCCCTGAGAGCACAAAAGCTTGCCTCACCCAGAGAACTATACGACTGCATCCATCTGGGGAAACAAGGAGCTGCATGGGCAGTTGGAACAAGCAGCACATCATTTGCAGTGCCCTTGTATTTTGTGGTCTGTGCTCTCTCATGCTGTGTGAATAGCTGAGGCCGCTGACAAGGTCTCTGTCCTTTAAGGGCTCTGGTTGAGCGCTGCAGCTCATTTCCTCAGGCACTCATAGGAAACAGGGAGCAGAATATGTCCCAGTTACATCAACCTTATGGGAACACGAGATCTTTTAGACCTTGATCCTGTCAGATGTAATGTGTCAACGGATTGAAGAGAGCTTTGTGTGCTGTGGGGGAAACGTAGAAGCAGCAGGACGCAGAAATATACAGCACGCTTGTAAAGCCACGTTCCCTCACAACCCTACTGCTAACCAGCCTGGGCAATTCACTTTGACTTCTTTCATTTTCTTCTTCATTTTTGGTGGATATCAAATTAAGAAGACAAACAGAATGTATATCTTCAATCAAAGCGTAAGGTTTTTGCAGGACTGAGCATCTGTGGGCTGAAGGCAGCTGAACATTATGGCACTATGCAGCAAGGGCAGCCCTTCTGGAGAGCAGATGTCTGTTACACAGTTCTGTGATCCCTTCTTAACGATGGTACCTGAGCACATCATAATCTGTAATGTAAATCTGACTGCAGAGCTGTACAGCTGTGAGCAGACACTTGCTAGGAGCACACTGGCCCATTGAGAGTCTGTACTCTCATGCTGGGGACCCCAGAGCACAGCCACCTCTTGTCCTCCTCTGCTGCTTGTTCAGACTCTCCTCCTCATCAGAAGGGTGAACAAAACAGCAATTCGAAAATGGAGGCTGCTGGCAATGGCTAACAGCAGAAAGGCAAAGCCCAAACTGCAAAGCTGCACTCAGAGTTTGCCAGGAACAGACAGCATTCAGTCCTCAACAAGGACCCTTGTAAGATCCCTACAGCCGTGCCAGAAAAAGAAATACAGTCTGCCTCAAATCCTGGGCAGCAATTGCTGCTTCCCCTCCAGCTCTGACCTGCAGCTCTGCGTGCAACACTGGCACAGCAGCCTGTCTGACAGCACCATTTCTTACCTCCAGCCTTTTCCTTCCTCCCTTTCCTCTCAATGCCCCAACTCTTCTAAAAGCAACCTGGGCATCTCCCTTAATCTGCTGAAAGCACACTAATTTCCAGCCACCATTTGCTAGCAGGGCAGTAAGGGGGGGGAAAGAGGCAGAAAGACCTAATTGCAGGGCAAGGCCAGAGCTTTTTGCAGGAAAAGCTTTCAGCTCTGAAGTGGATGAGGACCTGGAATAGATGGCCCAACACTGTCTCTGTCTGCAGTAACAGCTCATTTGTAAAAAAAGAAAAGTCCTCCTGGGATAATTGCACAACGGAGGTTGGGTGGCTGCCTGCTACAGACAGAGGTGTGAGCACTACACAGGAGTCTCTGATCCCAGATAAAGTCCCTCCAGTGCCTGCCACCCGCTCACAAAGCTTTCAGAGCACTTGACAGCTCCTCTTTGCTGATGTGCTCTGATTGATGCCTGTCACGCTAACCAGCATTGTCTCATTGCATCTCGCACACTCCCGTCATCCCACATAGATATCCATCTGCTGCCTCTCATATTGGACTGCAGAGTCTTTAGGGCAAGAACCATCGGCATGCCCTCTCACCAGGTCCTCACATCCCACGTATGAGGAAGAGACCATACCTTAGTGCAATTGGCAGCTTTCGGCTCAAGGTCGTTCAGGGTGACCAGCTCCCGCAGCAGGCTGCTCTCCTGGTAGCCTCCCTTCACTCCTCGCAGTTTGAAGTACGCCTGAGATCGCTGGAGGATCAGTCTGAGGTTCACAGCAAACCCTGCCATGTCTATAGCAAAGGGCCGATGGGGGTCAAACACAGTTTTCCAGCCGTAGACCTTCCCTGCTGCGTTCACTTTGGGGGATTCGTAGCGCAAGCCACCGACGAAGGCTACTGGCCACACCGACACCTTTCTGGTGCTGCGCATCTGGAGGCAAAGGAGAGAGAAGGGCACGGTGGGGGTGTGCTGAAGGAGGGGAAACACACCTCCAGCAAAACACCTTCACCTTCCCAGTGTCCTGCAGGAGACACGTGGGGCTGGAAGCCTGGGTGATGCTCCCAGGCACCGCTGTGACTTGGAGCAACGGAGCTTTGTGCATCACTCACCTGTAAAAGGATGTGCATCCTGGGGCTGCAGAAACGTGGTGTTTTGGGAAGGGGCTCACAGCCATGGGACCAAGCGTGAGCTCAGCTGCTAGGAACAAAGCTGCAAGCAACTGAGGTTTAAGTGATTTTTATTATTTTTTTTTTTTTTGTCGAAAGGCCTTCAGAGCTGTGGGACATCAGTTCTCTGCATGGATGGTAGGGCAAGTCAGGACAGCCGGGGAAAAGCATGTTGCCCAAGGAATCCGGGAGCAACGTATCTTGGAAGAAAGGTGTTTTCTCTGAAAGCTGCAGTCTCAAGCGATGAGACACAGGAAAGCTAAAAGTGTGGTTAGGGGGAGCTCACAAGAGCAGGGTTGGGAGGAGCACACAGGACAGGGCGTTGCAGCTGGCCCTGCTACCCAGAAGGACATCAAATGCCTCTGCTCCCAAAGGGGTCACTAGAAATAGATAGGAGCTGTCAGGGGACACTTCAGTGTGTGTGCCTGCCAGTGCAGATGATCAGAACACCGGTCTGCCTGCACTCCCAATGGCTGGTCCTGCTCTCTGGCAGCCTCAGCCTCACGCTCTGCTCTCAGCCCAGGCTCTTAGATCAGGGATCTCCCAGAGCTAATCTCATCACTGCTAATTACTGCAAACGAGACCAGAAGAGCTCTGGCACTTGCCCTTCTGCATTATACACACGCTAACAGCAGTGCCTGTCCACAGGGAACAATAATGCGTGTCTTCTGCATTTCACAGCACGTTCTGTTGGCTCCACGTAACCTTAACTGCAGCTCTGTATCAGAGAGAGGAGAAGGCTCTCTCAGCAAAGCACACGGGTGAATGAAGGAACCCTTTCTGCTTTATTAATGCAGCGTCTCTCTGAAGATGCTGCCAGCACCAGCCTCAAAGGAGAAAAGTGGAAGAAAGACATTCAGCTTGAGTTTGCTTTCAGCTTTAAAAGTGCGTATATTCTGTGGCTATCCAAGCTGAAGTGAGAGCCATCAGGGAAGAGAAAGGGGCATGTATGGAGTGAATAAACAGGAGATCCCTGGTATAGGAACTGGCAGCCACTGGAGAAGGAGGGAATCCTACTTTTTTTGTCCCACGTTGCAGGATCTCAGCCTCAGAGACTATGGGAACAGCTCTTTCCTGAGAGGTGAGGTACACATCTCCCTCCAAAGCCCTCTCCAGGCAGCATAAAGGGCTCCATGTTTCCAGGATATGAAGCAGGCGATGTCAAATGTTCCTCGTAAGCATGGCAATCCAGAGACAAGTGCACAGAACATCTCTGAACCAGACATCCTGTGAGTGCTGTGCTGGCACCACTCTGCAACGGCAGAGTCCTCTGCTGTGCAGAGCAGGCGTTGGGTTCTTGACAGCTACAGAGTTTAACCACTGAACATGCTGGGATGAGAGCAAACAAACGCAAACAGCAAGCAAGGAGCAGATACCCCAGGGACTCCTCAAACAAGAAGAAACAGGGATGAACAGACAGCCAAGTGCAGTATGTAGGGATGGCAGAGAAGGCAGCAGATGACAGCAGATCAGTCTGGAACCTCCTCCAGGGTGGGATCTGGGGGTTCCCTTGCTGGGCACGTGTGCCTGCCCAAGCACAAAGGACAGCAGATGATGTTCCAACCCTAACAGGGCTCTCCACAGCATAAGCAGCTCTTCATCAGCTCTCTTGATAATAAACTAAAACTACCTACATGTTCTTCTTGCTCAGATCCCATCAGCTAGCTGCTGCTTCGTGATGACCACTCCTCCTCCTCATGGAAGTGTTTAGCTTGGGTTTATGGTACCAAGAGAAAAGCTTTATTCCTGCTCCCTCAGGAAAGCAGCACAGCTAAAAGCCCCAACTGCAGAAGCTGGGAGTGTGTGAGCTAGGCCAACAAGATCCCTTTCAACGCTGCCAACGACTCCAGTGACTGGAGCATGGATGCGTGCCTCCTGACCACATGCCATAAGCTATGCTGGGATCCCCATTAATTTGCATTGCTTTTGACACCAGCACAAACACTGCAGTCATGTCACCAAGCCCCAGACGAATCACAGAAACATACATTGGCTTAGGTTGGATGGGACCTTAAAGATCCCCTGCCCAGAAACATTCAGGACAGCTGCTCTGGGATCACTGCACATAGGACTGATCCAGAGCACAGAAGAGAATGTATACAGCAGCTTTCGCAGCCCACATACTGAGATCAGCAGGCTGGGGCTCCTCCAGCAGGGCCTTACCTCCTCAAAGAGCTCCAGGCTGTAGGTGTTGTCATCATCAGCAAAGTAAACAATCCCAGGCTGGCTGTTGTTTTTGTTAAAGGTCTCTCTCAGCCACCTCAGGGCAAGGTTCCTCTGCATGGTCCCCCGGGGGATGCGGGGGTCCCTCATGTCTCCCCGCAGCTTGTAGTTGCGAGGGGTCTCCACGTTGAGGTGGGTGTAGTTGAGCCCCGTGTCCCGTAGCAGCCGGGTGATGAGGGGTGTGCGCCGCTGGGAGTCCTCCACCAGGATCCAGTGCAGGTTTGGCACATGCAGCAGGGTGTTGGCCAGGCGCGTCAGCTCTGCTTTCTGCACGGGCCGGCTGTAGGTGGGTGTAATGACGTGGATAGTGGGAAGGGTGTCTGACCACGGGGGTGGGCGAGTATAAACATATTCTGTCCTCACCACCTCCACAATGTCCCGGTCCGACAAGCAGTATTCCTTGGAGTCCAAGCCTGCAGCGAGATCACGCCGGGAGTCACCACCATCATCTGAGCAAGGGTACGAGAGAAGAAAAACCGCATGGACTCGGTCCTCCGACACCCCCCGTCCCCCCAGATGAGCCAGCAGGCTGAGTGCTGATAGCAGGAGGTCACCCTCACAGCCTGAGAGGAAAGGAAACAAGCTCAAAAGGAGGCTTGAATAAATAAGTACACAAATTAATAAAGGAATCAGGGACAAACACCCGTGAGAAACAAAGTTCCTGCTGCTAGAAAAGCTGCATCCATCAGAGCCTGAGAGCCCAGGACAGCGGTGCAGCTGAGTGCCCAGAGGAGACAGACTTGTAGAGCAATTAGATCTAGATAATGAAATTAGCAACAGGGACTGACGATCTGTTGTTCCCAAAGAGCTCCAGCGCTCTTGGCACCACGCTCAGCAGGGCAGAACTCATTGCGCTGGGACTGGGAAGTGGGGAACCAAACTGGGCTGGAGCTGTGGAACACACGGAGTCCCTGTATCACCTGAAGCTCCCAGCAGCATTGCTGGCCAGGACACTGCATACCCTGCTGCTTCCTGACAGGCCTGGGATGTGGCACAGGGAAGCAAGGGCAAGGCACTCTTCAAATCTAGAAACACAGAGCAGAAATAAAGCCCCTCATTGTAGGCTTTTTCCTGCCGAGGCTTTACCTGCCTCTGACTGACTTCTCAACAAAGCCCTACCAGTTTCTGAACATGACAGCCCATTCAGTATGGTGGATCTGAACAATAAAGCAGCTCTGTACAGCAAACAGAGTCTCTAGAGCATAAACCAACCCAAACTACTAAAAGCCTTGCAAAGCAAGACTTGGCCACAGTCAGCTCAAGGTTAAAATAAATAAATAAATAAATAAAAAATCATGCATTTGTCACTTTTCCAGCCTGCAACTTTCACACATTCACACTACTGCAGAGCAGCAGAACACCAGCATCCACAGTTAGGAACTGAGAGAGATAAAGGGGCACCACCACTCTGAGGTACGCCAGCTGCTTTCTAGTGGGTGCCTGATTCTTAAGAGCCCCAGATTTTGCAAAGCCAGCTGCTGCTGGGGACTTCAGATGAGAAAGAACAGGAATAGACTGCCATCAGATCTGACCCAGCAAGGTACTACCTGTGTGTTTTTCACAGCATGTTACACATATAGCAGCACAGCCTTTGATACAGCCCTGAAATGAATGAGGGATTTGTACTCGGCAGCTTTGAAGGAGGGAGGGTGCGTGTTTGTGGACCAAAGTGTCCTGCACAAGTGGGGATCAGGCCCTATAGAGGGTGAAGCACATCTGCATCACATAACACAGCTCTCTGACAGCACAGAGCACCAGAATCAATTCTAAAATGAAACTGCAAAATGCACTGGATACAGGCATAAAGTAATTAGCCAGCATGGAGCCTGAAGAAGAGATAGTTTGCAAACCCTCCCAGATCAAACCCTCCGCTGTAAATCCTGGCATATTTATCCACTGTCACTGTGTCCCCACCAGCATATAGATGCACATCTCATTTTCAGCACCTGCTACCAAAAGATCTCAGAAATGCATTACAAGCACATAACAATTTCTCCCAAGAGCTTCAGGTCGGTCTCTTTCACCACTCATTTTCCACTGAGCGCTCATAGAAGCACTCTCAGAGGAAGCATCTTACCAAGGGCACCAGCAAGTTCAGGACCAGGTCACAGCATGGCTGTCTCTGTGCTGTGACTTCAATGTCCACAACCATTCACCAACAAACTGGTCCTAGTTTTTAGGGGCACCAATTCAAATCACCATACAGACAGGATATTTTTCTAAATCCCGTTTTGGAGCCCAATAGAGCATCTCACATCCTGTGAAACACTGTTCACCTTTTGGAGAGATCAGTCTCCTTTCTCTTAAGTGCTGTCCTGAGCCTTGTGGGGGTCCAAGTCCTCCAGGAAAAGGTAAAACTTTTCAGGATGGACTCTGAGCTTCTGACAATTCCAATGGCTCAGCAAAAGACTGCTCAGCAAAAGAATAAGAAACTGCTGAGGATGGGAGTGAACATTAAAATGAAAAGGGTAGAATATCTCCCAGAGCAAGGTCCTAGAGACAGAAAATGAGCTGGCCTTCTTCCCCAGAAGGATGCCCAGAGAAAGGAACAGCCAAGAAGAAAGACTCCTCCCTTAAAAAAAAAAAAAAAAGAGAGATCATTGGGAAATAAAACAAAAGTACTTTCCTTCTGTGCTCTGTTCCACTGAATCTGGATATAGGTGGGGAAGAGCTCTCCAAGAGTAAGGAGCGTACCCTGTGGCTTGGAGGTTGATGTCTCCAAAGACCCCTGGAAAGCACAGAGCTGTTCCTGCAGCAGAAGTGGGGACGCTTCTGCATGAGCATGGACCAGGAGCTGAGATGGGAATGGCTGCCATGGAGAAATGAAATGAGAGAGATGAGGACGAGGGAGTGATGCAGACTTGGCATGGGCCGGTTTGATTTCTCTCACCCTTGTGCACTGCAAGCAGTGGAGCAATGGTGCTCTGGTGCCAGACGGTGATTAGTAGCGTCCAGGGCAGAACTATCAGCACGATAGCCAGGATGTCTCGTCTCTTCAGCATCTCCAAGACTGACTGGACCCACAGCTCCTCATTACCTAACAGTGAAAACCCCAGAGACAGAACAGCAGAGCAAATGGAGAACAGAAATAAATGGGCAGGAAGGAACAGGGACAGAGAAAGAGAACGCGAGAGAGGGAGAGAGCAGCGAAGGTGACACGACTCGTAGGTCTTACCAGTGCTTACAACCCACCCATTGCAGAAGCAGGTTTGGAGGGGCCTCAGCTGCTGGGACCAGGAGAGCGCTTCTATGGGATGCTGTTGGGCCCTCCAGCAGGAACCTCAGGCACCCATCTGGCAGCAAACCTGCAACACAAAGCAAAGATATCAGGCAGAGAAAAGTACCAGGGAACTGCTCCAGAAAGCTCACCAATCCTCCCTGAGAAAAGCAAACTAAACCAGGGCAGCGAGCGACAGAAACGCGTCCAGCCCCTCCAGGAGAGATGGATGCCTCCTGGGTGCTCAGGGCTCTGTTTGCTTTCCCATCTACTCACTGAGCAAGCCCACCGCATCAGCCGAGCAGCACTTGCTCAATACCAGTTCTGATCCATGCCCAGAAAGGCCCTTCACCTCCAAGCCAGTTGTCCCACAGCTCACTAAGCACAGGCCTGGGAGGAAGCAGAAGTCACACCAGCTGCACCACTTGCCTGACGCAGCAGTAAGTGCTCTGACCAGCAGCCCCAACCCTCCATGGGACAACTGGAGGGAAGGCTGTGCTTGTGCTCATAGGGATATGGCTGCAGCAAAGCCAGCAGCCCCACATGCTGCCTGTCTCTGTAATCCCTCAGCTCTGACCATCCCACTGGCACCTCTGATGCAGCCAATTTTAACTCAGGCTTCCAATGGCCTGTTCAGGTTCGTTTCTTCCATCTTGGAGGTGTAGCAAGTGGAGTATATTAAACTGCCACAATAGCTTAGTTTGATTCAATACAAGCACATACAAGATTTAAGCAGACTGTATTTTATCCCAGTATCTTGGCAAGAGAAGTACATCACTTAGCAGGGATACACACGGCGGACAGTTTGCAAACATGGGTAGCAGTTTAGTACCACTGTTCCCTGGTGGGGGAATACATTAGCCTGCTGCTTCCAGGCCTGCATTGCAGACTCAGGAGAGCCCAAAGATTACTGCAGACAAAGGCTGGAGGTCTCCATGCTGGGCAAAAGCTCTAATCTCTCACCCTCATAGCCACAAGCTCCCTGGCTTTTCTCTTTCCCTGCAGTGCCCTAGAAACCATCAGATTCCCTCCTTAAATCACAGGGGAGCTCCTCAAGCCCAGGTTATGGATGTGATGCATACAGATGCTGCTTTGCGGATGTTTTTCCTGACAGCCTTGGAGCTTGCTTTTTCTCAGTTGCACTGGGCAGTCATGGAGAGATCCGGGCTCAAATCTACAGTTTAGCCCTGCTCAGATTGATCTGAATCTCCCTTGTCTGAGCCTTGACCATTGGGCTGCACAGTGAGGCTCTGGCACCAAGCCCAAGGGAAGACTTGAAGTGTAACGGCTCCAGGAATGGATGGGCTGTCCCTTTAAGGTACAAGCAAGTGGTATTCAAGTCGCTGGATGGATTCTGACTCTTCCAGATAAGCAGTTTAATCACAGAGGTGTTCATTTGCCAGGGAAAACAAGGGGTAGGGAAAACACAGATAGGCCTTTGTCCTTCGAATGCACATGCAAATCCTTAACAAATGTTTTGGGGACTCCTTTACTTTAACCTATACAAAACCTACACACACAATTAAAAATTCCCAGCCAGTTCCAGGAGGGCTCTCTGGGGACAGATCTATACCCACACCAAAACCTGTGCCAGGAAACAACAACAAAACCCCAAACCAGCCACCAAACATGTCCCTTCTACTGGGAATGGGGCTTCCTACAGCCTGGTTCGGGGAATCAGTGGCAAGGAGCCTTTCTGAGCCCCAAGATAAGTGCTGTGCAGCTGGGCAGCCTGCAGGCTTTCCAGGAAGCATCTCCTGGCAACGTGGGTTTGTCCTTAATTTTTTCAGAACTGGAGAAATCAGCCTTGTCCAGACAAAATAAAGCAGGGAGAAGGAGGAATTGTTCCAGCAGACATCAGCCTTCTGCTCCATCCCCTTCCAACTACTAAAGCAAGAGAGATCCCGCCTGCCTCACACTGCCAAGGCACATGGTGCCCTCAGGAAAGAGCATCTGGCCTTATCCTGCCGTTCTGATAGTGCCCGAACAGAAGGCACCGAGCAATGGTATCCTCTGATTTCCCTGCTAAAGCCAGAAACACCCTCTGAGCACACTGATAGGGCACAGAAGGGTGGCTCTGAAAAGCACCTTGCAGCACCTCTCTGAAAACACAGCAGGTATCAGACAGTGACCCTGCAAAGAGGTGCCTGCACGGGCCAGCACGCACCAAATGCCCATTTGCCAAGGGCAGCTTCCCCCAACGCCAGTACTTTTACCTTTCCCTGCCTCCTGCTAATCCAGTCCCAAATTATCCACATCTTCCCACAGGACAGTCCAATTCTGAGCTTCGTGGGATGGAGAACGTGCACCTTTAGGCTGGGGCAGTGCTCTGATTTCTATGCATACAACAGGAAAGCCAGCAGGCTCCAACCATTTGTCCATCGGTCTCTGCAGCAACAGTTCCTTTTAATTTGCCACAGAGCACTTAGCAGCTCCCTGGTCACACATCTGTCACTTGGTGCTCCAGTGCCAGCACAGTTTTGCTCCCAGCCTTGCTCAGGCTCCGAGGGTCAGTGCTCTGCCATGGGAATGCATCCCACCTGCAGCTGCCACCCACATTTCTGCACCCCCCAGCACGCACAGCACTCCAGGTGCTCAGCATGAATTCACAAAGCGATGTTTTATTGATGACCCCAAGAAAACTGACTGAAGGACACAGTCAGAACTCTCTGGGCCTGCAGCTCACAGCAGCTAACACTGCCAGGGCCTTGGTGACACCACCACGCTCCCTCCCTCCATCACACCTTAAGGCTGCAAGAGGTGAAATCCATTTTCTCCTCCAAACAACACCAGTGAGGAAATAGATGGTCGCCTCTGATTTCATGCTGCTGCTGACGAAAGTCACAGCTTGGCAGTTCAAAGCAGAGGGCTCACCCTGCAGCCTGACAGCCCCTTACTGCCAAGGCTGCCCCATGATGTTTGCTGTTGTTTGTGGGGAAAACAATGCTTCTCATCCAGGCATCCGTTCCCCTCCTAGTACCTCTCTCTTTTTCCCATTGAAAGGTTCAGAACAAAACCTGGCTTGTCTCCAGTTTTCGCTGTAGGCTTCTGCTATCTCCTCCAGGAAAAGGAGGGGGAACATATTTAAATGTGAATTAATTAAAAAGAACGTGCTCCATTTGGCTATATGAAAAGAGAAAGTATTGAAAACCAAAGCAAGATAGACAAACCACCAGCTCAACTGTAAGCAATCCTGGAGTTAAAACATTCCTAAACCAAAGGTGTTTCGCATAGGTTGGAAACCTGTACTTGCTGGAGAAGGATCTGACAAAGGCTCACGTGGTGGGAGAGACTCCTCATCCTCCGGCAGAGGGCAATGGTGGCAAGGCATGGTGATATCAGAAGGGCATTCATCTAATAAAAAAGCTTTAATAAATCCCAGAGCCATGCGTTAGTAACGGGTTGGCTTATTAAACGTGGATGGTTTCTTTTTTTAAACCTGGCTAATTGGCGTCAGCTCTGACACTTGCCATAGGGAACGCTGGCTTGCTCTGCAGTCGGGTTTTGCATCACTTTCCCCTTCTCTCTTTCTGCAGGGCTGCTCAGCCCCACATCATTGCTCCTCGGCTTCCTCCTATTGAACAGAAGCGATTTGGAGCACGTTCAACTGAAGAATGGGTTTCACTGAGCTTGTGTGCATACACATCACTCACCAGAATAGAAATGCTGCCTAGATGGAACAACACCAAAAGCTCCAAGCCACCCAAACAAACATCCTCCATGAGCAGCCAGGAGCACCAAGCTCCACTTCTGGGCCCAGGGGATGCCCTACCCTGCCCACGGGCAGCCCCACAGGGTCCTGAGCAGGAGCTGCTGTTTGGCAGAGAATCCTTGCAAAGCACTGGCTGAAAATAAAGGTAGCAATAAAGCCTCTTGCTCGTTAATTACCCTGTAAGCCATAACTGCCTAAAAACCCCATAACTTTAATGGGGGCTATTATAAGTATAGTAACAAAACTACAAAGCTAATTATGGTTTAGTTATTAAGTAGAGCATCGCTAGAACTGAGCACACAATTACTTATTCTTTGATATAGGGGGTTGCTGACTCCACCCTCAGCTCTTCCCAGCTTTCTGGGCAGAAGGGCCTCAATTGCAAACCAAGAGAGGGAGTGAAAATGCACCAGAAATGCTTCTGATTTCCATTGCCCCTCTGCCAGTAAGGGCAGAACCACATCCAGCCATTGGAGTCCAGATGTGACCCTCCAGCCCTGAGCCCCTGGTTGCAGTGAGAACACAAACTGTCTCACCAAAAAGAATACAACCAAGAAAAAACCTGAAACTGAGCTTCTCTGAACAACACTTAGAACTGAAAGCAAGCATGAGGAAAGTGGATCAAGGGAGCTCAACACAAGCACAATTAGTTTCTGTAACTTATTGCCACAGGATACTAAGGAGAACAAGAACTTAACAGGATTCAAAAAGGGATTAGTTGTGTATGTGAATAAACTGCATATCCAGAATTAGGATGAGCCACCCACCCAGTTTGGAAGACATACACTGTTTGGTCTCAGAGCTTAAGCCAAATTTTAACAAGCATCAGAAACTTTCTCCTCTCCACATTAACCACTTCCACACTGCTCTGCCTTGACAGATAGCTGCAGAGATAGGCAGGGCTGGGAGCAGGACAGGAGATGCGATGGCACTGCTCTCACATTGACAGCAAACATCCTCACACCTTGCTGCTTCCAACAGCAAAATAGACCTTCCAAGTCCTTAAGAGGTTTAATGCATTGTCCTAAATGTGTTTTCTTTTCTGTACAGAAAAGCAATCAGCACGGCAGCTGCAGGTATCGCTTTATTGCAATGCTATTGAAGAG